GGCGTCTGCCCGGCTGCCAGCAACGCCGCACGGCTCCTGCTGCTTCCCGGCGCCGCCTGCTCGGAGTTCTGCTGGGCCGGCCCGGCCCGGCCCGGCGAGAGCCGCGGGTCCCACCGATACACTTACCGCTTTCCGCTGCGGCTCCCCTCTGAGCTTTGCGGCCTCGGGACTGAAAATAGTGGACGATCTTCTGGAAAGATCTTCCTTTCTGCAGCACTGCCCTTGTCCTCATCCCCCCTCCTTAGCCTCCCACGGGAAAAGAGGAAGGGTTTGGTCAGGTTTGTTAAGCCTGTGTGTAGGTAGGAGCTCATCTTGGGCTCACGATGCAAATCCGAGGTCTGAAGTCACCGATTAACTGAAAAGAGCCTGTGCACACTTTTTGCAACAAAGCTGACCTTGCAGACTTCTAAAAAACCCCCAGCTTCGAGTTTAGAAGAATTTCTAGCTAGAGGGCCCCAGGCTGAAGCTGGTAAATCCGAGACAAGTTTCGGTTATCTGGTGGGTTGGTGCCCGCCTTTCACTTCCGAGTCTGCCCTCTGCTCTGGTGCCGCCAGCCTCCTCCTGGGAGGATGATCAATAAAGGCTGTGAAATGCCGTCTTCACCAGTAGCTGAATTACCAAGCATTTTGTTTTGTCAAGATCAGTAATGCTCAGCTCAGGTGCTGATAAATCGTAAGTTAGCTGCCAAAACCCATGGGAATTCTGACATTATCATTTTTAACTGTTGATTTAGGGCTCTTCATAGTGGCTTCTGAAACTTCAGAACAGCTTTATGCTACAACCCCTAAGCTCTTTTCACTTGCTGTGGTTCTCTTAAAATCAAACCACCTGTAAAATACTGCCTAGTTTTAGCCTTAAAATAGCTGAAACCACCAGGTTTCCTGTGGTTTCGCACGGAACCATAGGCTTTGTGATGAGTGTGCCTACTGTTGTAAAAGAATGGTGTAGGGGCACAGCCAGGCAACTCAAAGGGTGTATTTGTCACCCTGGTGAAAGGCAAGGGCTGATCAAAGCCCAGAAGGACCTGAAGCAGTTAGGGAGGAGCTTGGATTTTTCTGTTCTTTGCTGTATTGCTACTTCTCATAATTTTATCAGCAATTATTTTCAGCAGTTTTTTGAGCTGCAGCTCCCAGAAGTTAGGCATCTACGCAGAAATTACCACTTTAAAAAACCCTAGCTCTCATCAGTGTGGGAATAAGTTTGAAAGTATAGCATGGGTACCCACAATGGCTCTGAGAGCACCTCTCAGGGAAAGGCTAACCTATTTTCTCCTTGATTTTATGGTTTGGGGATATGTGTATGTATGGTGAGGCAGCTGCCTTAAGAGTATTTAGTATTACCTCCTGTGTGCAAAATGCATAAGACTACTGACTCCTCTGCCCCTCCCCAAAAGTTAGCATTGAATGAGTATTAAAAATAATACTTCTGTACAGACTCTGTATTCTGGAACTTCCAGTGGTCTCCGTCTGCGACTAATTCTAGCTGTTGTTTGAATTAACAGTATTAAATTCAGATTGATATCATCTCTCTTGTTGATTAAAACCCAAGGGTTACAAACAGCGGAGGTGGCTTGTGCTATTGCAAACCGTATTTATATGCAGGTTATCTACAGGAGGTGTTTTCAGATTCAGCAGAAAACAAAGGACGGACTTCTCTCAGTTGTCTGGGTGACATGATTTCAGTCAGAGAAAAACACAGATTTGAAAGCTGCTTATTTACAGGTCTTAAAAAAAAAGTCAAATCACTGCCTTCCAGAGAAATCCTAAAGTGGTGAGTTGGCCTGGGATTTCAGTGAGAGTTAATGGTCACTTTTGCTGGAAAAAGAGGAACTGCAGCTGAGATAAAGCTTTTATTCACTTACTTATTTTTTATTGGTCTGATTCTCTAAATCTGTATATGTAGGTTATACCGATAGCAAGCAATCTCACTTTGCCTGGTTAAATTTCCTTTCGGGAAAGATTGTGTCATTGTTCGTTTCAAACTTCTGCAGATTTTTCCGTATAAGTAAAGTGGAGCCTCCTTGCAACCTCCCACTGCTTCAGGAACACAGAGGCTGTGGAAACGCGAGAAGACCCTGCACTCAGCACTGGTTCTGCACTGCCAGGAAACTACCCAGTCACTACACCTGGGTCTGAGATGCTCTTTTCTCTGCTGCCTTGATTCAGACAGCCTCGGACATAGCATTGGTTTTGTAAACACATTGCCACTGGCATACCCAAAGAATGCTGTCTTGACTGAGGTAAAACTACCATGGATACATGATAACCTGAGTCGGGCTGGACTACACACATTTCACCCCAACTGGAAGGGGTTTTTTGCATATCCAGCCTCATTATCAAAAACTCTGTTGAAAGTTTTCTTGTTAAGAACACAATGCAAAGAGAATGCAGAGTGAGTCTCCTGGTTTTGCTAGGATAGAGTTAATTTTCTTCTTAGTAGTTAGAAAAGCTGTGTTTTAGTTTCAATGTAAGACTTGTTATGAGAAGAACATTGATAAAAGTACTAATGTTATCAGTTGCTGCTGGAGCTCAAGGCCACCGTGTTTGGCTGGTTCACAGCTGCATTAGGACTGGGAGGGAGAAGCGCAGTGAATAGCAAAACCCAAACCTGGCATTTGGATGTGCCAATGAGGTATTCCATAGCATATCCCATCATGTTTAGTATATTAACTGGGGCTGACCAAAAGGCGGGGGGATTCTCTTGGGAATCACTCAGGCTCACTTTTCCAGGATTGCCATTTCGGTTTCAGGGTTCCTTTTCACTCCCCCGGGATCATTATCAGGGCATGGTGAGCTATTGTACTGTGCATCGCTCATATATATATATAGTTGTTGTCATTATTATTATTATTATTTTAATTTTTACTCTAATTATTAAATTGTTCTTATCTCAACCTATAAGTCTCCTCACCTTTACCCCTCCAATTCTCTCCCCAATTCCATGGTGGGGGGGGAGGGGGGCTGCGAGTGGCTGTTTGGCTGCCAGCTAAATTAAACTATCACAGTGAGACAAGATTTATTTAAATAAAATGGAGTAAGGCATGTATATGAGGATATATGGGTGAATTATGCTCTGATTTTAACAACACTGGAAGGTTGATAAGATTGTACTTCCTATAACCTGACACACCATGTGATAGATGACTATTCACCTTTTCAGCTGGAAGTATCTCTACTGCATGACTAAATAAGTATTAAAAGGGTCTAGTAATATTCTCACTAGGCAAAATACCTTTTATTGGGGCTATATTTGATATCTTTCCTTATCAGTGTGGAAACTTCAGAAATCATGATACCTCGATTATAAAGAATGTATGCACTCACCAGTGCTTGCTGGTCTATTGCTGATAGAACCTGTGTGTAACTGTGGAAGATGGTGCAGCGCAGAGGGGAATGCTTCTGTCCCAGAGGAAGAGACAGCCCTAATGTAAAGCAGCTTGTCTGTCTGCTCAGCGCATGGTAGTGAACACATAACAGAATATTCAAATCTCCTGAGTACCTCCCTCCATGCTAGTAGACCCAACTCTGAAACCTCTCTCTGATAATCATAGGTAAGCCCAAGTCACTGTGTTAATCCAAGGAGGTGAGATAAAATAGAAAGAACACATTCTAAAATGATTTCTTACGGCGTTTTAACTTTATTTGTATGGATGAATGCCCCTGAAGGATGCCAAACATGTTGGTGAGAGAGCATGAAGTCAAATGACCTAAGTCAGTCACAGTTTTCTTGAGGAAATCAGTTAGTTTTCCATAACTAGGCTACTGTGCATATAACAAGAGCTGAAATCCTGCAGGTATGGTTGGTGTAGTGAGGAAAAGATAACAAAAAAGCAGCAAAAACAGGGGCAAAAAGAGTACAATATGCTGCCTTTCTTAAGAACAGTTTTTCTTATTTTTGTAATCCTGGAAAATGTTTTTGAGAATGTGAAAGAGCACAATAGCAAAACAGAACAGGTAATGGGTTTGGAAGAAGTATAAGGCCAGCTCCTTCAGTGTATAAATAACATGAATAATGATGAAGCAGTAGAGGAACAAGGCATACTGGTTCGAGGGCCGGAGCAGGTCTTGGAGTCCTTGACTAAACTGTGGAAAAAGGAAAAGATACACATTATGGCACATGACTATATTCCACTCGTGCCGAGTCCATGTGCTTCTCTGAGCACACCTGGCCTCCTGGCACACAGTTCATAAAAAGTTAGTGTGAGATGAGCCAACATGGGAACTGAGAGCAAATCAGCTACGCTATGTTAAATGATAGGTGTCACATTCCCACCCCTATCCATAAAGATCACCTAGCCCAGTCTAACTTCAAAAGAAGTCACAATACTACTCAGCATGCAAAAGAATAAAACCTTACAAATTCCTTATGAATGTGAATGTTTCAGTCTCTATTGTGTTCAACCCTTTTTCCTTCCCCTACTTACCGATCTTTTTACTGCCTGTTGATGAATCTGCTCCATTCTCTCTTCATGAAGCCTTTGCTTTTCATTATCTTCATGTTCATATTTCAGTTTAGCCAGCACAAAATCCCACCTCATCCTCTCAAGCTCAATATCAGCTGCTGTGACGTGCTTGCCACAGAGTTGTTCCAGCTCCTCTGCATTGGTGGATACTTCTGACTGCGAAGTGTTGGTTCCTTCCTTCATGTCCACATATGCCGCATGACACTTCGTATCCATGCTGTCGGTTTTACTGTCTGAGATGAAATATGATGTTGTCATGTCTCTGATGGATCTCTGCTATAAATTGGAGACAGGGAGGCTAAGTTTGTATTTAAGCTAATAGATGAAAAATAGTATGTTCATCTAAGTCAATATGAATATTTGTTCAACTGATTATTCCCACATTTGTATAACGAATCACTAGTTCTTTGATATCCATAATTTCCCTTGAAAAAGTTTGTTCCTAGAACTGGAAAAGAAATCTTACATTGAATGTTGTCTTAGAAAATATGAACTATCCACCATATAAAAATGTTCAGACTTGAAAATAGAAAGAAAATTCTAAAAATATTTAATTAGAGACTGTTTGATCTAAACTGAACACTATGGATCTTTTGAGCAAATGGAAAGATTTCACAATCTGATGTCAACTCATGAAAAAGGGAGCCACTGAGGTTCTTCACCTCTGACAAGTAATTCAAGTATCTCATGATCCTCACTTTCCTTTGCAGACTCAATTTCCTGGCTGATCTACATCTTCTATGATGCACTGTAGTTTTACATCTGAAAGAATTATATTTTCCACTTACCATCTTTTCATGCTGCTGCTTCTTGTTATCATTATCCTGGGCTTCTGGTAAAGTAAGTTGAATAACTTTCTGATTTTCATCAAGTTCTTCCATAGTTGTTTGGAATGAATATTCCGATCCCTCTAGATCACTGAGTTCTTCCAAATTTCCTTGTATTTCCTGGTCTTTAGCAGGCAGAGTTTCTGTCTCAACACAGGAGCCCTTCACTGGTCTTAAAGCATCTGCAGGGATGTTCTGGAACGGAATGAGTATCTATGTGCTGACAATGAAGCAGGTGACCCGTATGTAAGAAGAGGAGCGACTCTGAGAGTAATGCAGGCACATATGCCTAGGGCATACGGGAGCCTATACGAAAGTGACTGGGGGCTTAACTCTCATTTATGTTCCATCATGTTCCTTGCCTAGATATGAATAATTAATATATATATATATATCACTGTATATATTTCTGTAGGTAGATCAAGGCCAGGTTGGATGAGGCTTTGAGCAGCCTGGTCTAGTGGAAGGTGTCCCTGCTGATGGCAGGGGGGTTGGAACTAGATGATCTTTAAGGTCCCTTCCAACCCAAACCATTCTGTGATTCTATAAAAGTGATTTAAGGAATGGATTTCACATCTAAGGAAAGATTTAGGCAAGTAAGACAATTAATTTGTTTGTTACTGAGTTTGAAGAAGAGAAGAGGAAGAAAGTAAAGCAAGCTGGTTACCATGGGCAACTGATGTCCAAAGGCAGGCAGGTAGCATTCTAAACATAAGGCAACAGTCCTCCCAGGATTTCCATATAGAAAATGTGAAACCAGCTGTCCCAGTTCAAAGGCCAGGACACAGTGACCACAGAGATTCTGCCCTTGGCTGACTTCATAACTGCCCTGTTGCCACAACAAACTGATGCTTGTTGTTGGCAAGGTCACATTCTGTCACATTCCTTGTTCAACTGCTGGGGCAGAGACTCTTCAAAGGGGACTGAGTTTACGTCCTCCTCTGTCACAGACCATCCTACTAAGTCACTGTTTTCTCCCTTGTAAATACATCTATACATTGCAGTGAAGCTTTCTGCCATTATTTGTGGGCTCCCAGAATGCAGCTGTGCCCAACCCAACTAGCTCTCTCTAGAAGGCAGGTTTATTGGGTCAGATAAAGCACCATGATAATAGCTATCCCATTCCTGAATAGTTTCTCTTCCAGGTGTTGCACTGAATCTCATGGATGTAATTAGCTCAGGAATCTCTGCACTGTCCTCTGTTCCCACTGTAGATATGCTAGCGTTTCAGTTTCCCATCTATAAACTGGAATCCTTTGCAGGGACTGGTCACAAGCTCACAGTGACTTTGTGATACAGTAAAGGATGTCCTTGTAGTAAGGTAATGTGAGCCCTTTAAGAATCTTAAGGAAAACTTTATTCTTCTGTTATTCAGGAGTAGGGAGACAAAGTTCTTCTACTGTTACTAGTCTGTATAAAGCACCTTTCAGAAAAGGATCGATCAATTACAGATTATATCATGTAAGTTAACACAATGACCTCAATTGCTTTTTGCCCTGTTCCATATATCATATACACTAGTGCAAAGTCAATATATTTGTTCAGTAGGTGGCCTGTGGAGAGCTGGATGACAGATAGACAGAAGATAAGAAAGACTAGTGCAGTAACTGAGACCACTTCCTGTTGCATTGTTTATCAAGTGTTTTGTCAATTTACAGCTGGATTTTCAAATTCCAAGGACACTGAAGACAGAATGATATACAGAGCTCTGGAATTCCATCATCAGTTTTGAGTGGAAATATTAGAGAGTTTTTAATTGCTTTTGGTGCCAATGATCCAATTACTTAGTTAAACATAGGTCCTAATTATTGAATAATCAGAAAAAGAACAAAAAGGGATGTAGGATATTTGTGTGTAAATATGTATTTGCATATTTGCCTTATGCTGTCCAAATGTAATGTGTATTTTCTAAGACAACACTGAAATGTCAGTCTTTGTGCTTTTATTGCAGTTGTTTCCTGAATTCCTGATTAACAACACAGGTATCATAATGCTTACTGATGATGTATTTGTTCAGACAGTCTCAAGGTATCCTCATGAATGCATTTCCCCATAAAGAACTATAAAAAGGATTTTCACCTGTGTCCAGGGATCAAACATTGTAGTGGAGTTAGGAAATCAATCAGGTTTTGCTGAATGACTTAATTGGCAAGTGGGAGGAGTAGGATACTGCTTGGTAGGCATGAAATACCTGGTAAAGCTCCTCCAGTAAATAGGTACTAGCAAAATCATTCATTCTCCACGTACCAAATCCTTTCAATCTTTTGCAGCCATACTTACTACGAGGTACTTCAGAGAGCTGTGAAGTTCTCAGCATCTCACATGCTCTTGTCTTTGATTTATTGTATTAAAATATTTGCCTTCACATTCAAACCAGAGAGGAAGCTAATGTCATTTCTTGTCACACCTGAAGAAGTGGAGGGTGCTACTTCCGTTTCCAGATGATCATCTCTGTTGCTCTGTTTTGCTTTCTCTTATCTTTCCAAACTTGCTGTCACTTCGCCAGCAGAGCTGAAGTTAATGCATAGCAGGAAAGTACACTGTTGCCATAATTTGCACTGCAGTTATTGCAAGCTTTTACTTTCATTTCCTTCTTGATATGATGTTTCCAGTTGCAAGTACACAGCGGGGTATATAACAGTTGTGATAACTGTATATATTTAGGGAGTGAGGAATGTTCATGCCTGAGTAGGAAGTCTCTCTTTACAATATATTTCAATATCTGAAGATAATTTCTCTGTAAAGCCTAGTGCATCTCATATGGCCATCTATGTTGGAGGCCAAATTTGAGCAGGATGTTAGTAATAAGGGATTGGGAGTGGGTGCAAAGAATTCCAAAGGAATTCCAAATATGGGGTTTTTTTGTAGTCAGGCACTGCAAGTTCCTACATAATATTTAATAAATGGGAAGGTCAGCCAATGGAGTTGTATTAAGGGCGAATGTCACGAGGATGGAGCCAGGCTCTTCTCAGTGATGCCCAACGATAGGACAAGGAGCAATGGGTGTGAGCTGGAACACAGGAGGTTCCGCTTAAACTTGAGAAAAAACTTCTTTACGGTGAGGGTGACGGAGCCCTGGGACAGGCTGCCCAGGGAGGTTGTGGAGTCTCCTTCTCTGGAGACATTCAAGACCCGCCTGGACGCCTTCCTGTGTAATTTTGTTTAGGTTCCTGCTTTGGCAGAGGGATTGGACTAGATGATCTTTTGAGGTCCCTTCCAATCCCCAACATTCTGTGATTCTGTGATATAGACAGGTACCAGCTGTTTCAGTCCCCTCAGGTTAGATGACCTTCCAATACACTGGATCACAGTGCTTCATTTGGAACAATGGGAGAGGACTGGCAAAACAGTTCCTCAGACTGCAGCTTTAGGCTGTCAGAGGAGTCAGGTAGTCTTCCTTAGATGCCTCTTAGAAAATAAATGAGTACCTGTTCTGTGGCACACAAAGCTACTGCTGTAGATTTCTATGCACTTGGGTTAATTTGTGAATTGATGGTATGATAAGAGGAGTTATCTCCTTTTTACATATGGGGAATTGAGTCACTGGCTAAAACAACTGACATACCCACACCTGATCTTTAGTCTTGTGCCTTATCTCTGCAACCATCCTTCCTTGCTTACATTTTATCCTTCCAAATATCGCAGCAGTGGGCTAGATAAAATTCTGCTTAGAAAGGAAGCAAGTATCACATTTCTTCTACATGCATTGCCTTTTGAAAACACACATAGTTATAAAGTTACTGATGCACAGAGGCATTCATACCAGAAAGAACAGCATGCATTGGAAAATCCTGAGTACATACAACAACTAACGCATGCACAATGTTGTAGTTGTGCTGGAGGTCTTGAGGAAGCACTGGACAGTCAATCTATGTATAGTGGCAGCATCACTAGGACTTCCAGGATGCCAAATATTTAGAAATTCCAGACAAATTGACAAGTTTTTCTTTTACTGGTTGGACAGAACTTACATGCAAGAAAAGAGTACGTGTTTCAATGAAATTAAAATACACGTAACCCTCATCAAATATAATGGCCAAAAAATGGTGATCACCACCATTCCCAAGCTCTTTAAAGGCTGAACTGCCTCCTCTATGTATTTTTTGATCAATCCCAATGAACCATTTTAAATTATCCTAGGTAATTGTGCTTCACTGTTCCTTTTAGTGAGTTTGGATCACCACTCAGAACATATATTTGAATTTCCTGAAGATAAGCACAAAACACACGGGCTGTATATACTGGATCACAAAGACAGGAATACTTCAGGTGTACTGAGAGAAAGTGGTCTAATTTTACCGCAAAACTCATTCTTTTGGGTTTTTCTCTACAGCCTGCCTAACAAACTCAGGCTCTGTTTGTGTCAGCCCAGGATATTTCCTTTTCTTG